AATTTCAAATCGACCCCTCGGATTGCCATTTTCCGATGGGTCGAGGGTTCGGCGATGAGTATCTTAGGAGACATCGACAGTGCAAAATCGAGGCGTCGAAATACCCCTCGAAAGGCCAGTTGGGTAAGTCACAATAAAACCTTTAACAATTTATGATCAAAATGATCAGCTTATCGAGCTCTACAAACGCTGAAAGTTTGAGCCAATTCTGAGAAAGTTGATGTAAATGTGGTACGTTTCCCATGGAATTAGTCAAAACCATTTCTCTCTAAATTCAAATGTATGTGCAATCTGGTATAATAGATTATATATATATATATATATTTTTTTTTTTATTCGTTCTTTCAATTTCTCCTTGATGTGTCTGACTTTATGTGGGATGAAGCATTTCTCCATAAAGTGGAACAACTTCCCCCATCGACTGGTCCAATTGTCTACTGCTGAAAAAGAAAACGTGCTTAACAAACGCTATATACGAAAACTAAACTTTTGATAAGCAGTGTTAGCACCAGATTCAATTTTTTTCTACCAGAATTCTTTTTCTGACCTGTGCTAGGTTTCTAAAGGGCTGTAATCTATGTAGAATTCTATACACAATCGAATGATACCATTTTCGATGGAGTTCGTTGGACGAAAAACATCTCAGGTGTATCTCCGGATATGGGTGTAGTTGGCGAGATAATTCGATCGTATACATGTCGTGGTTTTGTTCTAGCGCATGATTGATTACGCTGATAGCCATTCGAAACTGTTAGTTTCGTAACTGATCGTCATTCCAGCATATCTACACTGACACCTAGAACGGCACCTACACCCAGAGGAATCCATGAAAGAAAATTTTGCCTGATGATCTTTATCGAAAATGGCACCATGCGATAGAGAAGACAATTATGCATTAAACACAACCCTTTAGGATTCCAACATAGATCAGAAACCGAATTCAGTCAAGAAGTATGCGAATCTAGTCGTAACATCACTCACATGAACACTTTTTTGCGGTGTAAAAGTGTAAAAGACAGTACATAGTAACAATCAATCATCATAAGAAAAGAAACTATACTCTGTTGGAAATTTTACACTTTGTGTATTTTATAATAGTATAGTGAAACTGAAAAGGATGTGTGAGTTACACATTTCAGCGTAATAGAAGCTGCACTAATAAACCTTACATTAGTGGTAGATAAAAAAATTTCTATTCAAGGTCGAGATACGTACGACTACCTTTTATTTTGCATATACACTTTTGTCGTCAAAAAAATGCTTGAAAAAAAATCAATTATTTTTTCAGTTAGAAGAATAACAAATGCTTTTTTTTCTGTTGTTCTTTGGTCGAACGAAACTCATTTCAAGTTTTTTTCATAACAAGGCCTCATCAATACTCGAATCAAATTTTCTTCTCTATCAACACCTTTGCCAAAATAAAAAGCTTTTTGCTGTCAGAGAAATCGGTTGCTGTGCATGATGCCATTAGCGAAGTGCCTGAAAGCGTCTCTTTCTTCTATGAAAAACAAATGAGTCTCTACATCTTTTGATGGATAAGCCCACTGCATCAGACGTCTCTTTTGCTAGGATGTAGGTGTGGGTGTAAGTTTTTATATGCCTGCCTGCTCTTACACCCACACTTCACACTCTAATTACTCATTCATATGCGAACCATAAACACTCTAAAAGTATTTCTTCAAATGAAAGAATAACTGATCAATAAGGTAGAGTGTGACTATTATACTCCCTTTTCTATTATTCATTGCTGCACCGTATTCACATCTTCAAATGCGAAAAGTTTATTAAAAACATTAAGGAAACAGTTCAACATAGTGTTTTTTCTGGAATTTATAAATTATCATGTAATAAAACGACGAATATAAATAATCCATGTTCTTTTAACTGATTTGTTTAAATATACATGCGTAGCTGATAGAGACCAAGTTCGTGCAGCCGCCGATGTAATTGTTGATGATATTCAATTTAAATTCGTTCGAACATCACGAGATCGCACTGTTTTTTAGAATCAAAGGTTGAAACTTAAATGTATCGTTAATAGTGAATAGTGGATTGAGTGTATACGCGTTTTTGATGGAACAAGTTTTCCTCAGAAGCTAAATCATGGTACCTAAAACTGTTTTCTACTGGTGATGTCTTAAAAACATCTATTATTTGACATAAAACTCATTTTGATAGCAGGAAACTTTTGCATGGACAATTTCAGTAATCAAGACTACCGAAATGACGGAGTATAATTTTTGCAGTTTTTCTGAAAAGGTACATTATGTCAATTAAGTAGTCTTTGTTTATGAAATTGTCAATTACAAAATTTCACTACTGGTTAAAATGAATTTTATATCATTATAAAGTAGCTCCTTCATTTATATTATGTATTGCTTTTTTTTCTTTCAATCAGCTGCATTTTCAATTACTCATAATGTACATTAGTAAACCGAGAGTTGTCTTGCGAACAGTGTTTGATACCAAAAGTATCTCGTTCCATGTGTTATCCTTTCACAAAAAAAAACAACATCAGAAAAAGAAAAAAACGACGATGTTTGACGAAATCAAACGATTTTTCTTTGCGCCACAGCATTTTTCATCATGAATTTGAAATTAAATTATCTCGGTTGCTAATAATTTTATATAAAACATACAATATTTGTTCATTTGAGAACTTTTCGATTTATAGAGAACAACGTCAACGTCGTGTGGTGTCAATAACACAAATAATTATGCTTGTTTAGTTTTCGGATTTCAGATTTTGATCTAATGCATCGACTACCGAAAGAATTCAGATGTGTACTATTCTTCACTGATTATTCTCTTCAGTGCATCTTATGATTTTTTTTTGAAGAAGTTAAAGATTTTTGAGTCAATAAACCGCTAAAACTAGATCATAAAGATCAAGATGGCTCGTCCTTCCAAGTTTTTACGACACACAAGCAGTATGCGCTTGTCAAGACTACACTAGAGAGTCATCTCACCAGAGATTGTTTGTAGCGAATAAATGTCGTGAATACTGAGATATGGAAGATTTGTGTGATCATTCCAAAAATGGAAGATCATCTATAAATGACTACTCATTTTCATATAATTAGTGGATAGTGTTCTGAAAATTTTACCAAACGAACTCTTATTGATAATTATCTCTCATCTGAGCTCGACCGATCTTGTTCAAGCATTCATCGTCTACGTTCACTTATAGTAAGATATGATTCTTCTTCTATCCTCGAATTACACGGCATGCATTATTCAGCAATAGGAGCGATACAGCAACATCAACAAAGAAAAGACGTGTCGCAAATCGAAATCAATATTGAAATGAATTTTTTCGAAGAATCAAAGGAGTCTTTTAACATCGTAATATTTGTTTCAACCAGTTAAAGATCAAGATTAAAAAAAAACAGTTGCATACTTGGCACAGAAACTCTATAGTTAATTTCTATTGAAAACTACTGTTTTATCGATAGCATCAATGTTGCCACTACGTTCAATTAATGATAATACACGATAATGAAAAGATAACTTATTTGATAGATCAATTACAATAACATTTTGCTTGGTAATGAAATACATACGTTGCTTATCAATCGAATATGTCCAATCCAGAAAATCCGTAAAATTCGAAATTGGTAAAAATAACTCCCATTGATAATTCTCGAAATTTAATACACATATACCACCCATAGAACAGTCACTTATAAGGGCATTTAACTCAGTTGAATATGCAAAATTGCTTAATAGGTTATTACCGATTTCTTTCAATGTCCATTGACCACTTTCGATACGAATCGATAAGATATGACGTGTGTCGTTCACCAAATTGTACAATATCTATATTATATCAAAACTAAAAAGAATACATATACAACAAAATTGAAGTACATACCACGTGAAAAATTGGTTCAGCTGCATTTAAGTCTAAAGCTGAAAAACCTGTTTGTGGATGCAGCACTTGATATTTACCAGAAAATGTGCTACCGAAATTGACAATTTCTATGTAATTGAAAAACATAATAGGACATTCTATGTTCTAAAAAAATACACTGCGAAGGAATATGTCTAACTCAAGACACAACACAAGTGTGTAGAAATTAGGTTGAATATTTCTTCGATAATTTAGAAATGAGTTTAAGGAGGACATGTCTGCGGATTTCTGAAATATTATCCTATATATGACTTTATTTAGCCCGATAAGCTTCATCCGACGATGCATGACTATAAAATTTTATCTTTGTTTTACTTGAATCAAGGGGCAACAAAGACAAAATGAAGCACTCACCATAATTCCATTGTCCTGACAATGCATCAAACACATAGAGTGATACAGGAAATGAACCACCAACCTCATTTTGAACTGTACCCAATGCTAATAAATATCTATCTGATAGTGAATGGATCGGTTGAGTACAAGATGTTTTCATAGTTCTCGATAATGGTGGTTGAGATAAATCGTTGACATTGATTAGATTTGCTTGAGAATCACAATTAGTTGTCAAAATAATATATGGAGTATTCTCGTTATTAAATTCAGCTACGGATCCAAATCCATCAATAATATTCGATTGATGCCAATTAGCAATTTCATTCGATATAGCATGACCACTAGATAGATCAATATCAATTTTGTACAGAATACAAGTCTGATTAGAATTAGAACAAGCAAACGAATATAATGCATCGTCATTGGTGTTGACTACACGCCAAATAGTGAGAAAGAGAACTAAAATGAGCATTATTATATCTGAAACAAATAAATGATACAGTCGGGAGCAAATATTAACGCTACCTTATCGATTGAACTATCACTCGGATTATATAGACGAGCGACATCAACATTAAAAGACAAAGATAGTAAACAAAAAAATTGAAACGACTTCTCTGATCTCTGAGATGACGAAACAGATAGATCTTGATCATGACATGAGCTTAACTGAAAATATTCTAGTGCTTGGCAAAACGAGAAGGATAGATGATAATTCAAATTGTTGAGAACTACAGCACATGTGAAAAATTGAATTGAAGCACGTAGAATAGGCATATGAAGCTGATAACATGTTCGATAATCAAAACTACGTCTTGATGAAAGAAAAACATGCAGCTGTCGATAGAGATCGATCGATTTTTAACTTAACTTAATTAACATCAAAAATTAAGTTTTCTGCTTAACGATTAAACTTACAGTCAATAGATTTTACAAGGTTTACTAAATAAAAACGTTTCTTTCTCTCTTCGAAGTGAAGTACATGTGTTGATAAACGATTCAATAATATTGTTGCACATAAAATTTTAAAGCTAGTTCAAAGGTGTACGAAAATCAATAATAAACATTAAATTGTCGAAACCCATCGAATTCAACGCATTTACAAAATCACTAGCATGCTAGACACACATTTACAGAATGTAAACCCGTGCAAAAACTTTATCCACGGAATGAATTTCGAGAAAAAATCGCAGGGATAACACTCAGTGTGTCAGTTGCTCGAACCATTTCTCGAATAGGATGTGGGTTTAGGAGTGTGTGATTGATTGAAGAAGAATAACTCACACTCACACTTTCAGTTTTTTATATATGTTTCATTATTTTTTTTCTGCTCGAATATTTGTTCAAACTTGGCATTCGATTAAGAGTCATTTTTCTGCAATAACCTATGAGAAAAATTTTTAAAGTCAACTGTATCAATTGATAAGCAGTTCTTGAGTCTATGGGGTCTCATCATTCGATCCGACAATCATGTTCAAATCCCATGAAATTCTTAGACTGTGTAGAGCTTGACTCTATCAGTTTCGGACATACCAAGTAATTGGAGTGGACTGTTTTCATCCAAAATCGCTTATGCTTTTTTTAAATAAATCATTGAACTTTTGATATAATGTCCTACTTTTTCTTGCTTTTTCTCTTGTATACGTCGAGTTTTTCCCTACGTATGTGCTAGTCGTAGTGTTGATGTGAATGTGGGTATAGCTGATATTTACGCCCACAAATACAATCAATTTAACTGAAGAAGAATTCAGATCTTTCAAGTAGAAAGAATAAGATCAAACACTAATATATAATGCATGTGTGCAATTTTTCGAGTATGACTTGACAAAGGATCTCTGCACACTTTGCTCGCTTTCAAACAAAATAGAAAATTCGATACTAACTGACGCTTTTGTTAAAACTTTCATCGTATATTATAACAGTATTAAATCGTGAAAACTTATTAGTAGTCTTTTTTCTGTTTATCAAAAGAACCTTTGAATATTCAAATTAATCATCCAGAAACATATTTATTTGAAATCTAAAGTTTGCTTGAGTCAAACATTTAAACTCTTTATTGAATGTTATTATCTTCGTAACAGTATCATTGAAGTAATCACTAGAAGAATTTCATTCTTGTGATATTATACTTTTTAAAGAGCGTCATTCAAACGATTAGGATAAATTAGAAATAGTGCTCATTACTCGTTTTGATTCGTTGAAAATCGAACAAACGAGTACTGTTGCCGTTGCTGCTGTTACATACTTGCAAAGAAAAGCAACAGAGAGAAAGAAAGAAAGAAAGAAGCTGCTCATGTTGCTATGGAAGAAACGAGTTGTTTTTTCTATCGTCGTCATTCCGTAATGACGTTGTGTCGAGTAAGAAAAAAACTTCTACATATTACTAGTAGTAAGTTATTTGATTTTAACTGTGGTATACTATTCTAATTCAAGTCTGAGAGCAAGTCTATCTGCTGGTAATTAGGAGCAAGAGCAAGGTTTTTTTTTGCAACTCCGAAAAAGTTGCCTGAATACTTGCTCAGACAATCCGATCGTTTATATCAATAGTTCTGACTTCTCATATTCTCTTGCTGGCAAACAGTTTATAGGAGGTCACCAAACGATTTCTTCGAACTAAACAGAAAAGAGCTGATATTGAAAATAATAGCTGAAGATCAAATAGTTTAGTTTAGAAAAGGTCATCTTGATACATAGTAGTTCTACAAATCTTTTCATATTCATTTTCTTGAGAAGTAGAAGAAAGCAAATATTAAAAGGAGGAGGAGAACAATTATCTTTTTTGTATCTTGAAATCAGTCTATAATTGTAGAAAAAGATAAGAAGACCTTCTGATTCCAACGTTGCACGATTAGAAGCTGTAGAAAGTGACGACAGCTCAATTTCAATCAAAGTTAAAGTTTCGATGACATCAATTAGAATGTATTTTATATTTTCAGTCAAAATGAAAAAGCAAGCACAATAACAACACTACAAAATCGATGTTTCGATAATCACAATGCCCTGGTTTATGTTCAACTTTTTGCCTGTGGAAATACTATATGCCATCTTTGACTATCTTTGGACTAATGAAATATTTAATTCCTTTCTTAACATTAATGACTATCTCGATAGTATCATAGTAAGCTATAATGACTCATTTCTCAACTTTAATTCAATTCTCAGACCATTATTCGATCTTACTTGTCGTCGTCTTCGACCAAATCAAGTCATCTCACTCGTATTGTCGGATAGTAATGACACACCAAATCAATCTCAATTATTTTTCTCACGTTTTTCTACCGAGCAATTTACTCGTCTCCGTGCACTCACACTGATCGAGATCGATGATGATAGTCAATCACTTTTTGCTGATCTAGATAAAATGGAGAGTATCAAATTTCTTGAAATAAATCGAAGATGTCATTATCCATATCTAAATATTATGCCTCAACTCACTGAATTCATTATAAAATATCACAACGTTGTTTATTTTGAAAGTGCAGTGTTTATTACTCCAATCTCGTTACCTCATCTACATCATCTATCTTTAACATATTGTTCATGCTTTCAACTCGAACACATATTTCGTTATGCACCAATGCTCACTTCGCTCAATATTTCAATTATTTTTGCAAGCCATGATGGGATCTACGATTTTGTTAGATGCAATCGTGGGAGACCACCACTTGGCCTCGCAAGTCTCATATTATCGATTAACGTGTCTAGTAAGTGACAAACCGTGAATCAAGCAGTTTTTGACTTCTCGAACCTGTACACTTGTTTCAAAATCGTACAAGAAAGTTTTGACTTCTAACAAAACACCTAGATTCACATAGAAAGTTAGTGTTTTAATTTCTAGTTGAAAATGTTCACAAATAAAGATCTCTATAAAACTAGTGAGTGATTTTTGTTCATATTTTGGAATAGGAACAAGCAAAAACATTGAAATTTCTAGTATAAATGTCTTTAAAAAGAATCGATCTCTGTAAAGTTTCAAATCGAAATTTTAGAATTGAGTTTTTTTGTGTGAACTTGAGATTGACGAAGACTTTCTGGGCAAAAACGTAATAACAATGATATATATGAAACAAAGCACTGGAAATTCGAAGTCATTCTGAAATCCCTCTAATATCTTAGCATAAAGTTAGAAAAAAAAAGAGCATAAGATAATCTGTTTGAAAGTTTTACTTATCAAGAAACCAAACTCGAAGTGTTAGATGTACATTAAAGAATTATCTGATCTAGCATAGAGACTGAACAAATTAAACATGAGCTACTCTATGTTCTTAGTCCTTTATATATAAAATGGAGACAAAGATTGTGATTGATTTCCGGTTGTCATCTATTATGTCACCTAATGTTACATTTTTCTTTGATGTTCGATATATTTATATCAACTCTACACAATTGGATAATGTTTTTCTGATGATAATAAGTGTAACTTATTGACCGGTCAAAATAAATATATGGTTTTCGTTGAAAATCAACCATGATCTTTGTTACAGTTCCACGGCATATATTTAATTACTCTTTAACCTTTTTGTATATCTTCTGTCCTTGTTTTTTTAGATGATTGCACGCGTTCAAGTTCAATTGTGTCACGTGTCCACTTAGAACGATTTCTTGTTCACATGCCACATCTACAACGTCTCGAACTCATTGTTAACTGTGAGGGAAATAACAATCTTAGTCATGGTGATCGATGGAAAATATTCGTACTTGAACGATTACCATTACTTAAAATATTTAATTTCAAGTTTCGGTTGGAAAACGTATACCGTGATGAACAGAGTATGCTTGATCATTTTCGCTCCCCATTCTGGCTCAATGAGAATCGACACTGGTTTGTTGCGTATGATCATCGTCGCTCACTTCTGTTCACGGTACCTTATTTTGCTCCTCACTCTACTGTATACTCCGAAATTCCAGTTATGCCTCACTCAACCACATTACCGATTGAACAACATGCCATCTTCTATAATATGATTACCGAACTCACATTCGATTCGGTAAAAGAAGAACCATCATATAGGTATACACAAATAGAAAAACTCGTGCTCGTCAGTCCTAAAATCAATGAGGGACTGATTGATCTTTCTCGAGTGCAACATTTATGTGTAAATTCATCTTCATGGTCATTGGACATGATTGTTCAACTCATCCAACATTCGATGCCTCGTCTTAATCAGCTCAGTATCAATTGTAAATTGTCATTGATATGTTCAGCTTCCATTATTCCTCTAGAACAAATTCGCATTTTACATATGCCTTTCTTTGCATATTCATCAAGTGATAAGAATTTTGACTGGTCTCACCTCTTTTCACGTGTCGAACGATTATCGATCACAGTGAATAGTCGTCATGAAATGGTTTTTTTCATTGATCGATTCGAAAATATGTCGTATGGTTCATTTATTGTTAATAACTGCTGTATTAATGCAAGACGAAATCTACGTGAACCTCAAGTAACACGAGAATGGCTGGTTGAAAATA